CCCCAAAACCCCAAAACCCCAAAACCCCAAAACCCCGTCAATCAAGTTAGTAGATTTTAATGTAAGTTTTTAAAATGAATAATTTCTATAATATAAATCAAAATGAATATTTTCAGACTCACAGGAGATATGCTACATTTGCTAGCTATCCTTATCCTTCTCTATAGAATCAGAAGGTCAAGAAATTGCATCGGTAAGTCCCCAGAAACCCACATTTGTGCCTTTAGTAACTCTTACTTTACAATAAATTCTTATAAATTTCAATAGGTTTGTCCTGCAAGACTCAGGAGATGTACTTACTCGTCTTTTGCATAAGATACTTGGACCTCTTTATGTACTTCATTTCTCTCTACAACACTGGCATGAAAGTCTTCTTCATCAGCGCCACTGCTTTCACTATCTATCTCATGAGATACAAGAAGCCATACTGTACTGTAAGTTACAAACAATAAAAACCACCATAATTATGTTCGAGTGGCATATGCTTCTTATTGATTTTATCCATTCGGAAATTTCAAACACTCTCAATAAGCTCCATAATATTTGATGTTCTCAACACTTAATATTAGACTTACGATGCCCTTGGAGATGATTTCCCGCACTTCAAAGTATTATTGCCTGCCGCTTTCGTTATCACTCTTCTAATCAATACTGGCTATTAACCATGGGAATTCGTATGGAGTTATAGTTTATGGCTTGAGTCAATTGCATTCATTCCTTAAATCGTGATGCTTAATAAAATCAGACTAATTGAAAACATTACATCCCACTATGTAGCCACTCTTGGTCTCTACAGATTCTTCTATATTCTGAACTGGTAAGATCTAATATTTCAGAGAATATAATATTCATTAACTGTTACTATATAGGTTCTACAGATTCTACATTGATGACTTCTTCTGCTGGACTCAAATTCTCAGTGGTATTCTATAGACTGGTCTCTACGTCGACTTCCTCTACTACTATTTCAAGAGCATTGGAGAGGGCAAGCAGATTATTGAGTTACCTATGTGATTTAAGACATAGCCTAGAAGAAACAGATGTCTAAAGGTTTTAATGAAAATATATAAATCTCTCTCACTTAGTTTCTAATAGTTTTTACTTTCTCACTCTTATTATCTGTATCTACTATTAATAAAGTTTTTCTTATTTTCATACTATGAGTTAATAAGGAATAATTATACTTAAACAATAATGAATTAAATATTAACACGTATAAAGTAGTTATCAAACATTGATAGCAAAAGTGAAGCAAAGCTATTCTGGAAGTTTGAAATATTATATATTTCAATTAGTTAAAGTTAAGAATCCCATTCAATCCACTATTCATTAAGCATATTAAATATCATTGTAAAATTTGGTAGGACTCGTTCTCTGAAGTATTTTATCTAGCATATCATTTTTATCTATTTTGTAAATTAGTTTAGCAGCGTTTTTAAAACTTCTTCTGGTCTTACTAAATTGATCAGCTCTAGTCATTGAATCTGAAGGCTGTTAAACTTAGCTCAATTATTCCTCAATCCTCATCGAGAGTAGTTTTTACCTTGACTATCTAAAGTTACTTGAATACTTAGTTATATTTAACTCGTCATTTTAACTCTAATCAACCTGCTATGCCAAATCATCAGGTGATTACTGATCAATAGAGGATTATTTATTAACTTAGGGAAAACCGTTGGATATGTTTTAGTTTACTAAGCTTCTTTTGGATATTAAATTACCCACTCTAAATTAGGTTGATTAATTTTGATTTTTAATATGTTTGTCTTGGTCATTAATTTGATTTTAAACATTACCATACGTGGTCTTCCTTTAGCTGAATTATTCAGTTGATTTCCTTAATTTATTATTTAAATTAATAACCCCTGGAGTAGATTCATATTGAGATTTGGTGATGTGGTGAGCAACTTATTTAAATAGTTATTAATTTGCCTCTCTATATACTCGCAAAACTTCCTCATTTTTCTTGCTTAAAGTCATTGGTATTCTTGTGTAAAAGAAAGCTCCTTCAATAGGCTAGGACCTTTTCTATACTTTGTTCCTATAGGTAAAGGCTTATTAACCATAATTAAGGGCTGAACTATTTTGTTAGACTACTTATCTTTGCTCCGAGTATGCTTATTACAGTTGCAATTAAGATGAGTATTCTTGCTTATTAAATTACGGACTCATTCCTGTTGTCCGCAGCTTAGCTAACTTAGATACTTTTGATCCATTCTAATGGTTGATATTGCTCTCATGTTTAATTGGATTAATCCTAGCTTATCTTAATTTTCTTTACTACCTTAGACTGGTTTAATTTGTTGAGCCTGAAAAATCAATGTTTTATTCATTAAAAGTGCTGTTGTTAAAGTCATTGTTATTGCTAATTTGTTATGCTGGCATATCATCTTCATTTTGTGTCTAAAGAATTACAGAAATATCGTCTCCAAGTCCTGTTAAGAGATAAGATTTTTTATTTTATTCGTCCCCTGAATCTAGCTTACTTGCAATGATTGCTCTTCTAGGGTTATTTGAATTTCGCTTTGTCTAAACCTTCATTCCTCCGACTTTCTAAGCTTTAAAGCTTGAAGAGTATTTTGTTTTTGATAGATTTGGCTTGAAATGATCATCCATTGAGGATATTGATAACTTAAACTAGTGATGACTTGCTTCATTCTAGCTATTAGAATTCATTTCTGTTGAGAACACTCTGTTTTTTTATTTTGTCACCTTTTTCATTCTCTTTTGGTCTGGTATTTTAGGCTTGTGCTTTCCCCCATGTGGTGACTCAGTGATACTTCCTGTCTCCTCTTCATCTTCAGAGAAATCTTCAGACTCAACTTCATTTAAGCTATTGATCTTATTCTTGTCTATTGGTGAATCAAGTTACTTACTTTACAACTCTTTTTCGTCCTAATTAGATTCATTAATATCTTTTTCTTTTTGAGTCCTAAATTTTCTAATGGTCATTATACTTTCTTTCTTGTGGGGGTTCATCCTCTACTCATTTCCACTAATAGCATATATTGATCCATTTTATGAGTCATCTGATCTTCTTTTAATATTTCCAGACCCTATACCACTTCCTGAAAGTTGAGTATGCATTGGAGATTCATTGATAAGACTAAATGGATTTTTATTTTTCTCCTTTGCTTTGTTATGGGACGAACTAGAAATTTATTTCTTATAAGGAGGATTTAGTTTATTGTTATTGAGCGTGAATGGATTTAGAAATTATGATTGATTTGTTGTAAATGATATTGCTGAGTTGATCTCATCAATGTTTTTTTTATTAAAATTTTGATTACTATTCTTGTGCCTCTGATTTGATACATTGCTAACAGTAATAGCTGATTTGACATTAGACTTTATAGAGGTTCGAGGGGAATCGAATCTATTATTCCATTTTTTGTTACTGACCTTGAGTGCCTTGGTTATAATAGGCTTATTTTTAAATATGCTTTATTTTTCAAACTTCTGACTTAGCTTTGAGCTGAATTAGTTGATTATACTATGAATCACTTTACTCATAATAACATCTATTATCTAATTCACTTGCTGATTATGTTTTTAAGTCCTAAAGGTAATGTTTAATGAATGCTTATTCCTAAATAGTGGTGTATAACTTACAAGTTATTTATATTTCTGTTTTTAATCCGTTTTTATTATTGTCTCTGGCGCCTCAGCTTTTTTTCTTAAATGAGTTGCAAAACAGATTGTTATTGTTAAGCTTATAGGTTAAGTTACTCTTCTTAATCAGTAACAATTTTAAACCCTTCAAAGAACTCTGGATGCTTCAAATCCTTTCGATTCGCATTGATAATAGTCATTTTAAAAGCTGTGAAATCATCAGTGTCGGATACCAATTCAGAATTGTTAGTCTAAGATAGTGATTAGATTTAGTTAGAGTTGAATTTACCATATTTGATCTCTATTTTGACGCATTGAAATTAATAATGGACATTGTGTTTGATTTATATAACTTTTATTAAACTCTTTTAATCACTTATCTTACTCTAAGGGGTTTTGGGGTTTTGGGGTTTTGGGGTTTTGGGGTTTTGGGG